CAGTTTGATACTGGTGATACTCATACCTTGAGGAGTATGAAACGTAAAATGCAAAAAATATTTGAGACTGGGCTAAAAAAAAAACAGACTGACTGATTACTTTTGTACCTAATTATTTCGTAATAAATATTTTTGTTTCTTTTTTGACTCGTTTACATATTATAATATTAACATACCATATTATAACCCATACCTACCTATTCTAGATCGATAACTATGTACATACATATGTACTGTACTTGTGTATATGACATTGCTAATAACGACTATCGGATATAACGTCGGCAACTATACGGTCCCTTCAATGTCGTTATAACCGGTTTTGACTGTAGTTAAAAAAAAAAAAAATTTTACTTTTTAGTTTGATGTGCTTTAAAAGCGTGTTTTTTAGTTTTTTTTAACTATTATTTATTTTTTATATTATAAAAGTATCGTAGAGGGGTGAAAATTAGGGGTTGTATTTTTGTATGCTGTATCATAAAAAAATTGTCAAAAAATAAAAATTAAATTTTTGGGGTGGACACAAAAATGGCAAAATGATATAAATAGTGGGACTATACGTTTGCATGAATAGATTTATAGAAGTTTTAAGGCTGAAATTTATTTGATTTTGTACATAATATTTTAGCTAAAATATAGGCTCTTTTTTAACTCCATTTTAGACGCGAACATCAGACTAAATACACTTAGTTTTTAGTGGGTATGTATTATTTTTAATTGATACTACGTTATCTATACTGATATTAAAAAAAGGAAAAAAAAAATATTTGTAACATACAAATACAATGTTTTCCTTCGGTTCATAGATACTTTATTTCTCAAAGAATTACATTCAGTTAGCGAGAAAATTTAGGGTAAGTTAGTTATGTACATCGTGTTATGAAATTATTTGAAAATAAACCATATAACATAAAAAAATATTAGTTTCTAACAATATGTACAATTAAAACCTTTCCATCCTGTAACTATTAAAATCAAAACCTAACTGATTACAAAAGTTCTTTCACCATTATAATACTACATTCTGGTGAACTTAGGCTTATTTATCATTAGAGTATTTTCTATATATAATATTATAAAGAAAATGAATAGGCTCCGAAACTACTGGACCGATTTCAAAAATTCTTTCACCGTTGGCAAGCTGCACTATTCCCGAGTGAGATAGGCTATGTTTCATTTTCAAAAAAATTAGGGATTCTTACTAAAACTTGAATAATCTAACACAAGGTGTAAAAAAATAAACAAATAACTTCCTTCAATCGTGTGCGCTGCGAAAACTATTAATGATAGAACAAAATGATGTATCACAATTTTTCAGGACACATCACTATCATACTACATAATAAGCGTCCTCGTATTATTTTTTTTAATTAAAATACCACCGCTAGAAAAGGCTCTTTATTCGTACTACCATAATAATTACCAACGTTTCACATAAGCTACAATTTAATGGCATAACCACCAAAAAATCATGGTGGATTGGTGTTCTCCTGCCTTTTCTCTTGAATAGTTTACTACTTTGTAATATAACAAAAATCTTAGCCAAAGCAACGCTTGGCCGAGTCTACTAGTAACTAATAAGTGTCTAGCCGTCCCCAGAAGAGGAATTAAAGCATTAGTTACCATTATTATGGAATGTTTGTAAATTCATACTATAGAATTCTGTTAAATCCAATCGAAATACTGACCGCATAATCCCATAGGTTTGATCTGACAGTAAGTTTAGAAGATTAACATGCCACAGCTTGTCAATGTCCATGCTAATCCAATCCAGCAGCTAACATGCTGACGTATTTTTGCTATCAAATATTAAAACCACTGTCCTACGGGATACAGTTTCATTTTCGTCAAAAAAATAATAGTACTGGTAGGCAAGACCTCTGGTAAATTGGGATTACTTTAAACAACTTGCTGATAGTTAAGCCATACAATATTGAGTGAATTTTAATATTAATTTTACTAACATAGTTTTAAGTATTACTCTACTAACAATATATGGACTTATAATGGTCTGAATTAAATGATTTTTATTTTATTTTATTATCCATGTTCATTGGATTTAGCTCTATGGTAGAATCTTGTGTGCACTTTAGATTTCCGAGACTTAGAGGGAGGGAATAAGGAAGATATGTTAGGAATTTAATGAATTTAATTGCTATTAAAAGTGTCGAAAATTAATACCAATAATACATTTCATTTATTTCTTCGATAATAAAAACACGTGGCAATTTAATTTTTAATTCGTAATTTGAGATTTCAATAAATTATTTTGCATAAAATATAAAATACTAATATTTCATAAATTATCTTTACGAAATGTTAATTTTAAAAATAGGATTTCTATAAGGTAATTCACCCTTCTCACTCTCTCTCAATCAGTCTCAATCGCTCTCTCCCTTTTCATCGACAAAAACGCTGCACATCTTCGTGACGTTCCGTAAAAATTTTACTACCCTCATGCGCCTAAAGAAGTTTCACTTCAAAAATATTGTCACAATGAAATACTATTTTCACTTATTTATCCAAAAAAGTCCATGTCTAAACCTAAAAGTTTATTAAATATTCAGATAACAAAAATCTGTTTCACGAAAAGTCGAGGTGGTATTTCGGTATTAAATCATGGCGAGACAGGGTTAATGGGGCCAATTCTACCGCTCAAGGAACCCACGTCTCGGACCCTCTAAATATATCTGATAATCATGTTTTATGGACCTGTGTAATTTTTTATGATACGAAGGTTTCTAAGGAACTTGATTTATATAATATTGAAGAGGAATTCACTTAGACTGGGGATACAGATTCCATTAACAATTAATTTCATACAAAATAGCTATATATTTACTACAATTTATAATTTAAATAAGTAAAAGTTTATCTTATGTGCTTTCCAAGCTAAAACATACTATATTTATGTATGTATATTAAGAGAAAGAGTGTGTAAAGTTGTTCGGATTAATACCTGCAGATGAGTTTCACCATCGGACGTCAAGGCAGAATACTCAATTCCACCCGTATCACCTTGACGTCCGTCGTTCGACAACTGAGCGTTTTTTAAGGCAGTTTTTGCCGCGCACCACCACTATGTGGAAACAGCTGCCCACCGATGTATTTCCGAACCAATTCCAACATCACAAGGCTTGATATTTGTTTCTCAAAATAATTTGGAAATATGACTTACATACTCAGGGCGTACGCCATAATGGGTAATTATTAAAATACATCCAGCAGCTTTTTAGTTTATTCGTTACAAACAGACAAAAATCGTTTCTCTTTATAACATTGGAGTAGTACCAATTTCCCATTGTACAAACGACAATAATAGTTAACTCAATTTATGTTAATTGCTGATTGGCTATCAGAAAACTATGTGAATGCAGGTAGAATAATAGTAATAAGCTCAGTTCTAACTGCTTTTTTAAATGTCAACCGCATTTACAACTGACAATAGTTTATGAGTGAAGAGACGTCGCGCGTTCGCATTTATAATATTTATTCGATCAGTTTAAGTCGAAGGTGGAGAGTACCAAATCAAAGGTGATTTTAGTATTATAAAGTTTAGTTTAGACCTTAGCAACTAAGACATTGTTGGAAACTCATACATATTTGGTTTCATGGGTCAGGTTTGGACGTAATAACCTAAGTCAGTGTTCTTGAGTTTAGTTAGAAGAGAATTAGGTTAAGATACAGCATGTATGAAAGAAGAGAACATTGTTAACAAAGTTTAAATTATGGTAAATATAGGGGATATCTTTAATTTTGTTCACGATGTCTAATTACCTATAGTCCTCTCTTTTCTCATTTTCTATCCTTATCGCACTCGGTCTCTCTTGCCATGCCCAAATGTAGAAGGAGGGGGACTATTCTTCATGCTCCCGCGATGCAGAGAACACTTACAACTGCCGACGCGAGGTCTCCATTATTTTGTTTACGCTGGTTCTTACGCTCGTGCTTACGCTTGTGTTTACGCGTGTGTTTACCCTTGTACTGACGCTTGTATTTACGCCTGTGTTTACGTTCTTGTTGACTCTTGTGTTTACGCTCGTGCTTACGCTTGTATTTACGCTTGTGTTTATGCTCGTGCTAACACATTTATTTGTAGTCTTGTACAAAACAAGAAGACAAGTGAAGAGACGGACGACTATTGGTGATTGGTGTTACCATGTATTTTAACTTGCCCCTCGGTCTACTTTTCTTTGTATTCGCCGCTACACATTCTTATGTAATATTCCTAGAGTGCATTACTAACTTTTACGTACAGTACTGAATTTGTTTTTGCCGTGATTGTACACATTAACCTTTAATTATTGTTATAAATGTGCTCTATCCATGTAGTCAGTTCTTGCAGATCACTCAGTAGTGACAGTTTTAGCTGGTACATATAATAATAGCACGAAAAACAGTCACTACGTTTTATACGTTTCATCCCACTTATTGATCTTGATATATTAGGAGTGGACTTTTACCTATTAAATATTACCGCCTACAAAAACAGTATAGACTTTACGAAGCTTAATGTAAGCAAAAAGCATTTGTCACAAACAGAATTCGAAAGATAAAATTCAGTATTACGCGTTATTAAGCAAACATATTGACTTGTAAATCAATGCAAATGTGGGGAGCAAAAATGCCTTTTAAAAAATAGCCGACTCATTGAAACATTAACACAGTTGAGATACCAAAAAATATGCGGACCGAGGGAGTAATTTTGGGCAAGTTGGACCATTAACTTTTATCTCCTGCGTGGGGAGTGAGGGGATGTATGGCTCAGAGTATAATGAGTACATGCGTACTTTATATCTCATGGATAAGGTATATCGAAATCCCACGCGAATATAAGCCAGCAGTGAACTGGCGAATACTCTTCTTTCTAAATTTAAATAATAAAAAAAACGGTTACAGCGACAGTTCATAGGCGCAGAGCCTATCAATTTAATTATTCCCATCACCGTCCACAAAACACCGTGGGTTCTATAGAGCCGTTAAGTACTTCTTTTTCAAATTTAAGAGCCGGGCTCTTGTCGGTGGATTAATCGCCACTCAGTGCGGTTCTGCGTCACTGTCTTGACCTCCTGGTATGTCACGACCTCAGCTTTTGCCTTGATCTGGACTATGTAAGCTATTCTCGGTCTTCCTCGTCCTTTCCTGCCTCCTATCTTCCCCTCCAAGATGGTCTCAAGAAGTTGTCGAGTCGCACCAGCCTTGCGATTCTGTAACTCACTTTTCGAACTCTCACAGCGGCGGTCGCGCTCAAATCAGTCGTAAAGCAGTCATTTTACGATTTGGCATTCTGATAAACAATAAACTAGAAGCTCCCTCCTTATCAGAATGAGAAATCATAAACTGACTGCGACCGCGGCTGCGAAAACCGCTGTGAGAGTTCGAAAAGTGAGTTACAGAATCGCAAGGCAGGTGTCCAATCATCTTCCACCTCCGGTTTTCTATAGAACTCAGCAGATTTGGTTTTTCTCCGACCATACCCAGCACCTCTTAATTGGTCTTCTTTTCGGTCCAGCTTATCTTCATCAATCTCCTCTAGCACCACATCTCAAACATATGTACTATATTACTAAAAACCAATTGTGCCCCAGATCGAAGAGATGAACATTACAACACGATTCAATGTCCAGTATCCGTATAAATTGCGGCTGTATTTGTCTTAACCAAGTATTGCATTTATTTTAAGACCTTAAAGAAGTACCCGTAAGTTTTGGACCTGGAAAATAGAACGACTCCCCGAGGATGTATATACACAAAGGTTTTAGTTATTGTAAATGACATATAAATATACTTAAATTACATAACAAAATATAAAATAACCATTATATAAATCTATTATTTTATCTTGATAAAATCTTTGTCATACAGTTGAGAAACTGAACACTAGCAGAAGTAACTTAACTATCAAAGTTTCGTCATCCTTCGATATTTCTAAGAAAACTCAGTTTTATGAAACACTACGGATAAGAAGTTGAGAACACTTTAATTGGGATGAACTTACAAGAGTTTATATTCTACAATTACAATTAATTTTGTTTGAATTAAAATATTATTGCACATCAAAGTTTGAGCGTACTTTATTGTAATAACAAAAATTGCATAGAATATTTTTGAAAATTCTTGTATACAACTTTGTATTATTTGTATTAAGTAACAATAAATAAACTTTTATATAAAACCTAAGCACTCAAAACGTTTGAGTTATATAACAATATATGTTGTGTAAAAAATTCGCAAAGAAAGTTTATTTTTATTAATGCAGTGCTAAATGATCAGCCTTCTCTGCCTGACACACGGCGTCGACTTTTTGAGTCTAAGGCAAGCCGGTTTCCTCACGATGTTTTATGTTAAATGAGCACATGGAAATAAAGTCCATAGATGCACAGCCGGGGTTTGAACTTACGACCTCAGGGATAAGAATCGAACGCTGAAGCTAGGCAACACTGCTCTTTAAAAATACATATTAGAAAAATAATACAATTAACAGCGAACAAATTGAAAATTGCTTGAATTATATAACGTACAAAAAAGTAAATTATTTAAGAAAACCGTTATGTTAAATACAAATTCAAGATAAGTCAAGAGCGTACCATTTCTTAAAAGACCCTCTCTTAACATCAGATGAGACTCCTGCCTATTTGCCCCCTTTTCTATAAAAAATATATAATTAAAATACCTTGCCAGTTTCTTAAGTCAAATACAAAAAAGCTTTAACTGAAAGAGCAGAAATTCAATAAAAAGGAATTGGTATAAAATATTATAAGAACTCATATTAATACCGTTTCTTCTGAGGCCATAAAAACTGCTACATTATGTAGTTTTATGCATCGTTTATGAAAACATATATTTTAGAAGTTTCTTACAATCTTGTCTTATTTTCATGACAACACCACGTTCTTCTTAGAGACGAGATTAACATATGTGTCGGTTTACGACTGCAATCTTAACATATATGAAATAAGATATTATTACATAAAATTGTGTATGTATTATTTAGGCAAGAGGAATGACTAACATTTGTTAAGTTACATTAATATATTTTAGTTAATAATTAGAAGCGCAAACCAAATGTTAGCAATCATCGTACACTTGTAGCCATTCAATTGTAAAACGTCACTTTAGTAATAAATGAGGCCTTAAGTTTTTCTCACACTATAAACTGTAATATAACATTCTCGTTTCCGATGATGTTCAATAGGTCTATACTTATATTATTTATAGGCAAAATAAGTGTTGCTTACATTTAAGAACCCTTCAATAAGTCAAGTTAGTTTTTTGTTGGTCTAGCGATCCAACCCCTAATTTTATTTTACTTAAAAGCTCAGTTTTAAACGATTAAAGCCAGTTATCACCCAGCTTCAAACAAAGATTTTCATTTATTTGAACATCCCTCCTACAACCGCCACCGAACTTAACTCGAATTTAGAATTTTTCTTTATTCAAAGTATACAACTGTAATTTTTTTATTTGTTTGGAATCAAATTTTCATAATTAAAGCGGTTTGCTACAAAATATGTCGTCACAAATTTTTTGTACGATGGATAGTTTAGGAGATATCGCCAAAAACGTGTTTTCACCGCTTTTTCCAAGATGGCGGCCGGGGGGACAAGGGCGCCAACCCCACAAACTTGGGTTTAAGCTTGTATTGACCCCCCCCTACATGTTCCATAAATAAAATTGCGTCCTCTAACAAATGTTCAGCAAATGTAACATTTCAATGACAACAGCTTTTGATACTTTTATTAATTAACGAACACAGCTATAACTCAAGTGTCAAGTTTCAATGGACAGTTGCATTCTTAGGTTGACAGTGTAGACTTGGCATAAACCGACAAAATCATCAAAACAACACAAAGTTTTGGCAAAAGTAAAAACAAACGTAATAAATGACATTCCTGTGTACTATGAGTATTACCTCCTAGAAGCGTAGGCGACCCATTATAGTGATTCTACTTTGTAAGCAAAACGCCTCTTTAGTACCCCCAACATATCAAACATAACACAAAGGAACGAACAAGATGTACATTTTCTGCGTCAAAAACAACTCGTACATAAATTGTATTATTCCATTTTGCGAGACATTATGGTGTTTTCGGGACTCCAGACTTTCAGACTTCATACATTTTATTACATTTATCCTATTCAGAGAGTAAATTATGTGCTAGTTTTGTATTGCTTTACACAAAGGGATAAAGAATAATGCGATATATAAAGGTATAAATATGCTAATAGAGTTTTACATTCGATACATATATACATAGTTCAAACCAAGAGTTGGCTATAAAACAAATTATTGCTCAACGCACCCACTTCGGCCAAGACAATGCGACCATTCGTATAATGTATACAAAATCATATTTTCACAAATATGATTTGTTTATTTTTTATTTAATTCTTTGTACTGTGGTGTTGTTCTTTAGGTGCCAAGGTTATACCCCTTAGTGGTTTTTTGAAATGACTGAACTGTTAGTTTATATATATATTAAGCAATAATAAATAAAAAAAGATAAGAATATTGAAAATTGTGTTTTATAATAAGTTTTATTAAGGTTTTATTTTAACGTATATTCAAATAGTGTCAATGATAACGCAAACTGTATCTATTAGAAATCATCTTTTGAACTCGCCATATCGCTGATATCGGAAGTATGTAAAAGGATTCGTTTCATCTAATTTATATAGAGCTAACCTAGTTTCAACATAAATAAATACATAAAAAATAGTAGTACAAGATTCTTAGATATTTATTTTATACAAATGATTTTGAAATTGTGTGGTCACAGTCCGATTATTTGCAAAGTGACACAAAAGTGATAACATCCGATCAGTTAATACGACTAGGTAGATGTTCCTTATATACAATAAGAAACCATTTGTATTCTGACATACGTATATTATATATTTTAACATATAGTGTAATAAAGTGTCGCATAAGTATCGAAACGAGCAGTTTTGTACGACGAAAACATCGTGAAGAAACCGTCATGTATTTCAACCTTAAATCAAAGTCTGTACATAATATAAGGTTAGTGATCTACGTATATAAGTTAATCCCATACAATCCGTGTTACGAGTTCACAAAAACATACATATTTTTAAGTCAACGGGAATAGACAACTACCAAAGTAAACATGGGGAGAATTGGTTAATACAAATTTATCTATACGTAGAATTGTATTAAAAAAAACACATTTTGTATCAATGTTTAAAATAATTTTCCAACAATATTCAAAGATCTTTCTACTAAGTTTTTAAAAATAGACTTAATATACCACTTTTTTGATAAAAAATATTATGTTATTAATGATTGATTAAGTGACACATTATAATTAATATTAATTTGATAATGTATTTTAACAATGTGATGATTTAGGATAAAATAATATAATAATTAACTTTAATCATATCATTAATAATGTAATGTAATATGTAAGTTCTATGTAAAATTCTACCTTTTAAGACAAATATGCCCGCCATGTGTGGTATATGGGAAGATTAACCACCATATTTTTATACTTTCATATCTATAATTATTAGTATATTGTTAGATTATTTTATGAGTTTTAATAACTTAAACAACTTTTTTATTTTATGCTAGACATTATTATATAACCATAGAAATATGTAAATAAATTTTTAATATAACGTACGAAAGGAAGTCAAAAACAATAACTAGTTATTAAACATGTACAGTGCAAAACTATAAAGCACCAAACGTCGGCAAGTCAAAGCAAGTAGGCTATTTCTTTGTGCAAAATATTAGTATCTTGGGTGGAATACACGCTCGTTTCTATATACAGTGGCCTTATTTCCATTCTTTTTCCCTGCAAGCGCGTTTTAATTATGTTAATGTATTTGAATAATAATGACAATCAGCGAGTGTTTGTTTTAAAATACAGTTTTTAGTAGCAACTGTACCTTTAAAATGTTTGCTTCATGGTTGTGCGATCCCTCGCTGCACCAATATTTTTATGTGTATTGTATTGTTATATATTAAAACTTGTGAGATAAGCGGCATGAATCGAGACTTAGCACGCATGACTCACGTATGTCAAATCCATTGGATTAATATATATTGATTTAAAGTCCTAAGTCCCCCCAAGTGGGGCAGAGGGCATACAGTGTAGAAACCCAGCCTTATTGGACCAAGGCAGCTTTTTTAATTTTACTCGACGTCATTCCAGCTCCCTTCGTATCTGCAACTATTCTTCGTTGCCAGGTCTGTTTAGGGTGGCCGCGCTTTCTTTTGCCTCGAGGATTCCAGTCGCGGGCTTGCTTATCAATGGATCTTGGATCCCTCCGGGGCGTATGTCCCCACCCGTTTTCACTTTCGAATCAAGTGAGACCCGTCAATTGGCACTACAAAAATATATATTGCAGTAGGTCTTTGAGTCCTTCAAGAAAAGACCGTACCAATTCTTAAAAGGCCGGCAACGCACTCGTGAGCCCCCTGACATTGAGAGTGTCCATGGGTGGTG